CCCGTCCCTTCCCCGTCGAGATTTGTTTTGCTGCCGGCTGAGAACTGCCTCGTTCCCGTCGCGCTGCGCGGTCGCAGCCCGCACTCGTGATGCGAGGGGCGGTGCGGGCTGCTTCTCTTTGGGGGACGGCAGCAATGGATTTGCCCGGCTGAAGGCGCTGCTCGGTGGCGCCCGAGTGCCGTTGCGCAGCGAAGCTGCTGCGGTCCTATGATCAACTTTAATAAGTTCAACCTTTTCGTGGAACCCGAAGCGCTCCCCTGTGCTCACATGGGATGCTCCCTCTTAAAATAAACACCATTATGCCTTCTGCCTTTTTTGTGGGGAGATCTTTAAATTATACCTTTTCGATGTACATAAAGGAAGATTGAAACCATTTATTCCCTCCCAAAAGGGAGCGTGAGTATATAAGGTTTCGTTAAGGTAACAGGGAAAGTCGATACGAGGGAATAGAACAGCTTGTGTTTGCTCACGCCGTGCAAATAAAAGAGCTGTACCCATGTCCCAGAGGTCAAACTAGAAATGGAGAGAAGTCACTGTCCAGTCCAGAGTGACTTTAGAAATTCCATATGTGAAAAAAAGTCCATAGATATTTTGTCTTCTCTATCAGGGATAAAATAAACGTGCCTCTAACAGAGAAAAGTTAATTAAAAATGCAATAGGGTGAGAGTTAGGAGAGCATGAATGCCGGCATGCGATGTGCAGAGGACTCTCCCCTGCGGCGCAGATCTGCCACTGCACAGCAATTGTGCGGCAGCGCAGCGCTTGCCTGGGAGGGCGTCCAAGCCCAGTGGAAATGAAGCCTGATGTAATCCTGTTTTCCCGTTAACTATCCACTATCCTACAAGAGCGCGCGTAGAAAAGTCACTTATGAAAAGTTAGAGGGAGAAATAAAAAGAAAAAAATATTTATTTCTCGCAAATATATTGCAAACAAGAGCACACAGGAGGCAGCATGGGCTTTTGAAGTATTAAATTTGAGCTGCAGACTTGGAATAATCTTAAAGAGAGACCCTCGTGTTGGCAGAAGTAGGATGTCCATCAACCACAGCCCAATGCTGCGGAAATGGCCCTGACCTGCACTGGGGGCAGATCTTGGGACTTCCCACCACGCAGCCTCCCTTGATAACTGTTTTCAAGGTTGAAGCACAGGAAGGGTAAAATTTCATCCCAAATCTGTGGTGAACACCTTGAGAGCTGCAGCCCCTGCCATAGAACCAGGCTGATGCATTAGTGGCACAATGAGGCCACACATCCCACTGGTTTTAAGGCTTTATTGCTCTCACTTTTTAAAATGTTTTAATAAAAATATTAGAAGTTAAAATAACTTCTGTTACTTACAGACATTATCTATACTATATATCTTATGAGGGTTGCTCCAAAAGTAGTGCCTCCTGCCTTATGTCAGCCCCTGACAACAGAGGCAGCTGTTGGTGATATAGCAGTAGAGGTTGGACCTTCCCACCAATATCCCATTACTTTTGTTGCAGTGTGTCAGATGGCAGCAGAGGGGCAGTCTGGCAAAGTGGCATCTGAGATAGAAGCGCATACAAAGCAAAGGTGCATCGCTGAATTCCTCTTCATTCAGTGCAAACCAAGCAAGTCAAAAGTTCGGACACTCATGGGCCAGCCTATGGTAGAAGATGCTTCTACCATCTTATTTAAATTTCTATATACATATGGAAGGGAAAAAAATATATATATATATTTCCTCTGCAATATATTATATTTAGGTATTGACTTTCCATTGCAAAGCAGAAATAGTATTTTGTGGGGAGTACACACTGCACCAGCCCTGAGGTCAGGATCTGCACTTGCAGTTAGCAGTCCATTGAAGTGATAGGTATGAGCCTAGGTCTTGCATTTGCAGACAGCCACCCCTAGTGAGCAGGAAGGCCTTCAAACACAGCCCATGGCCATTCACTGTGCAGCAGCATTGAGATTTAGGGATTGCAAGGTCTCTGGGTGATGAATGTGCCCACTAAGGAAGAGACACAGCAAACAAGTGTGCCCATAGCTTACAAATGACAGATACTTCCTTGGAGTTGCTGAGGATGGAAATGAAGTGATAAGGCTTTTGAATTCATGTATTTTATCAAACTGATCAGGGAAAGGAGTAGGAGCACAAGGGGAGGGGGGGGATGGGGGTGTCCCAGTGCTTGTTCTCATTGAGGTGTGCAGAATGCAGCCCTCCTGCCCTCCCCACTGCCCACACACCACGCAGGGCTGCTGGCTGTGAGGAGTCCCAGCACTGCAGCCTGTAACCCAATGGGACAGCTGAAAAGGGAATGCTTTCCATCTCGCCCTCAGCAGCGAGGCAGGGCGCAGAGTTGGAAGGGCTTGGGGCAGCGCGTGAGGCTGATTGTGAAGGCAAAGCTCAGCACAGTGGCAGACGGAGCCTGGAAGGTGAACTTCTGCAGCAGGGCAGTGAAGAAGATGAAGAGCTCAGTCCTGGCCAGCTGCTCACCAGGACAGGCACGCTTGCCTGGAACAGGAGCAAAGAAAACCACGCTCAGTCCAGAGCAGAGTTTAAACATCACCCTTAATTGCTATTCTGTCAGAAGGGAGCGTTGTGCAAGAGGATAGGTGGGCTCACTGGTGCCATGGGACACAGAGAAGGGCAATGCTTGTGGATGAAGGGCACTGGCTTGGGGTCTCTGCAGCCTCCAGCCTCCTTTCACCAGTGCTGCACTGTAAAGGCTGCAGGAGCTTTTCTTCCTAGCAAGGTTAGGTGGCAATGTTCACCCACACATCGTGCAGAAGGCGGCCCCAGAAGTTCCCAGCTCAGAGAGATGCAATCGTTCAGATAAGCAAAGGGGGGGACATTTAAAAAAAAAAAAAAAAGCACCCACTTACCAATCTCATGCCTTATTTTTCATCCTGCAATAACAAATTGATTTCCCCCTTGCCCACAGCAGTCAGTATTAACTGCTAGGGGATTTTCACTGTGGGAAATGCCAGGCATGGGCTGCTATCAGACTGGGAACAGTTCTCCCCCACTCCAATGGGGTGAAGAAAAAGCATTACAAAAAGCAAAACCATCTCCCCATCCATCTTCCTACCTGCAGAGAAGGGCAGGAAAGCCTCCCGCCTCCTGTACTGGCCGTTCTCCAGGAAATGTTCAGGATTAAAGGTGTCTGGAGTCTCCCACACGTTTTTGTCAAACATTATTGAAGTCAGGCTGGTCATCAGCGTGGTGCCCTGCAAGGGTGGGGGAAACAAGAGGTTGCACGAAGAGCCAACGTGCAGCCAGACTGGGTTACTATTAGCTCTCTTCTACACATGTGAAGTAAGATACCTTATTTTTAATACACAAAATGTTTTTTTTCAAACCAGCGTGGTTAAATGAGGGCAAAAGCCAGCAGGACTGTTCACTTCAATGTGCCACTGTCTACCTCCATGCTGTTGATCCGTACCTTGTGCTGCTGTTAGTGGTGATGTTAATATGAATTCACTTTTAATCAATAAAATTGTCTTATCGTAGGGATTGAAAACAACTTAACCAAGTAATTGTCAATCAACCTGCTTTACTTTTTATTAAAACTGTATCTGGTTTACCTTCTTATCTTCCATTAGAAGAAATTAAAAAAAATGCTCTAATCAATGTGCAGCAAAATGCCCAGAACTTTTAATTTTTAATTTGCCAAGAAGCAACTGATCAGGTCTGTGCAAGAGACTCAATGTATCCAGATCTCATATTTGCTTTCATAATGTCAGAACAGCATACATTCATCAATAACTATTACTTGGCATTTATCGAGGGCTATTTTAATAGATGTTCTTTAATACTCTGTGGAATTAACAAATCCAAACTGTTTGCTTTCCTGTGTTTCTTGGACCTCTGCTCCCAAAATGCATGGAAGTCATCTTCTGTAAAGCTTGAGAAATAAGCCTTGAAAAAACGAAAGCAATAACCAATAAAATAGTTCTCTTCCATAAAAAGGTGAGATTCAAACAGCCCTACAGCATCTGCCAGGACTACTCGTATTCTTTACAGCTGAGAGATGTCATAAGATGCTGCACGTTGGTGCCTCCAGGTGAGGTTTGGGATGGGGGCTGTGGAGACCCTGCGCTGGCAGGGTGAGGGGAGGGCTGTGTCCTGGGCATACCTTGGGCACGTGGAAGCCAGCCAGGGTGGTGTCATTGGTGGACATCCTGGGCACTCCCAATGGCACGACGTTGCCCATTCGCAGCACCTCGCTCAGCACCGCGCTGGTGTAGGGCATGTGCTCCTTGTCCTCCATGGTGGGCTGGCGGCACTGGCCAATCACAGCATCAATTTCAAGTTGCACTTTCTCTACAGAAACCAAAAATACATATTAAAAAAAAAAATAAATATATATATGCGCTCAAAAAGATCTGAATGAGAAAGCTGGGCCACAAGCGTTACAAGAAGGAAGGGCAGCAAGGTCTTGTACCAAGGTGAGGGATGGGCTGCTCAGATGTAATAGCAGCAGGCGTAGAAAAAGCAAAAAGAATTCACTTACTTCAGGAAGGCCCACACAGTCCTCAGATAGGCAGAGATCTCAAACAAGACACTTTCACCTCCACTGCCAACCCTTAAATGAGGTCTGGGAAAGAGAGGATCCTGGCTCCACCCTTTCAAGTCACTCAGGTACATTGTATGCACCTGAGCTCCCCCCGTGTTTGCCCTGCCTTCCCACCAGGTGCTCAATCAGTGGTTCAAGCAGTGACTTAGCATATCCACTGCACACGTCCTGTGTGGTGAGCCTGGAAACAACTCAGTTTTCTGTTTCACTTATCTGTTTTTGGGCTATGTGATGAAGGACCCATCAGTGGCCCTACCCTGAATGTGGGGGTACGTGGCCATGTAGAGCAGAGCCCAACGGATGGCAGTTGCTGTTGTCTCTGTCCCAGTCAAGAAGAGGTCCAGTGTGGAGCAGAGCAGATTTTCCTCATGGAAATAGGAGTTGGTGTCACCCTTAAACTTGTGTAAAAAAAAAAAAGACAGTAGAAGTGCTTATTAGGGAGGGGATGCTTTCATAAACACAAGCCAAAAACGAAACACCCTCCTACAAGTTCTCATAAGAACATAAAAAAATTCCCCAAGAGCCCTCCTATGCTGCTTGACAGAATGAGAAATAGAAGATAAAGTGTAAATACTTTCAAATGAAAAAAAAAAAAATTAAAAAAATCTATGTGTTTTCAAAGCAATCAAACTCCTGCTGCTGCTAAAAAGTCATG